GTAGAATTCCTTTCTACGTAGGCGGCCTTTTGCCGCGCTTTAGGATTATAACCCTTACCAAATAGAATTCTCCTTTTGGTGTGCACCAACTGGGACTACCGCCCCAGTGATGTACACCCGTATGCTGTAATCCGAAAGTTCGTAGTTACGAATTCGTAGCTCCGTTCCGAAAATTCGAATATTGGTATGCTGTAATCCGATCGTAACTATCAACGGCGTTGCCAACTAAATTAGTGAAATTCGAAGTTCTTACTCAGCTGCTTTGGCAGAAACAAATCAAAATAAATATACATAATCGCAAGTGAATAGTGAAAAAAAAATAGTTTAATCATTATTTGAAATGACTTTTCCTTAATTAAGTAGAATACAAAGGATTCAGTGGCCGGCGCACTTTTGTCCCAGAAGGAAGAACAGCTTACAGTTGTATTAATATACAAAGGAGATTGCTAAGAGATTGTTCTGATCCATTTAGCTTAAATGATAAAATGTAAGCTCCCTCCTTTTAAGGGCCTCCATTTCACTAGATATTGTGCCGCTTTAATTCTTGGAACGCTTTCCCGAAGTTCCACCACATCCTCTTTAGCTCCTTTTACAAAGCCTCGACCAATGTCCGGCTTTTCGCTCATGTATTCCACCAGTTTTTCGTATTGCGAGCGATTTGTTGTGATCTTCGATCTGTTAATTTTGTAAACATTTAATAATAAATTTTTTTTTCATATCATATTCATTTTTACATATTTTTGCGTTTACACACTTTATTTTACTGATATTTTAAAACAATTTGTTCCGCTCCGACACGAGTTGCTATTCGTACAAAATTTCCGACAAATACATAAAAATGACAGCTACGTCGGATTCAGGCATACCAACATTACGAATTTCGAAGATTGCCTACGAATTTCGAAATTCCGATACGACAACGCGGATTTCAGCATACCAATTTTACGATTCGTAGCAAAATCGAATCTACGACGGATTACAGCATAGGGGTGGTAGCCTTGGGAAAGGATGAGGTAACTAGAATTCCCTTTCTGTTTGGTAAACCTTGGTGTTTATTGCGAATAACGGGAAAATTTTAGTAGACGGACGGCAAATTCTAGAAAAAGGGGGGATGAGGGGCGGTAGAATAGGACCCCCTGATTTCAAAACAACCCCCCTTTTTTCTAGCAACCCTATAGTTCTTATATAATTTATTGTTAAAGTTTTCATATAAACGATGATTAAGATAGCAAAATAACATACAACTTAGTGCCACCAGACTGGAATTTTGAATAATAAAAGAGGATTTTTAATTCGAAATTTTTACTTAGTAGAATTATTATTTCTGTGTTGCCGAAGAAGGGGGGGCTGAACACATTTTGCAGAGAACACCTTTCTTCGTAGGCGGCCTTCGGCCGCACTTAGGGATTATAACCCTCAGGCAGT